TCCATATTTTTGAAAGAAACTAGTAATAATAAATAATAATACATTTAGTACAGTAGTAGCTACTTAGTTAATTGTTGTCATTAGTATGTATAATATTAAAGTGAAAAAAATTTGACCCGATCTACTTTTTCAGAAAAATCGGTGTCCTTTGAGAAATCAGTATCCTTTAGCGACGACATACAAGGAATACCAAAATCGCATAGTCCACAACATGCCGGTAATTTAAGTTTAATCACTAAAGTTTATCAATGTCCATTAAAATTTTTGACTTGAACTGATATGAGCATGCCAACTGGTAGTTTAATTTTTCATAACTACTTGTCCAGATGTCAGTATCATTTTTTTGTTGTCCATACATTTTTTGAGAGAGCATATAATTGTCTGATTGTAGTTTAGATTTTGAGAATCAAACACTTTTAATTCAGTAAAAAATAAATTTTTCGTTCATTTTTGTACGCATTTTAAAATCTTTGTGTGAAGCCGATACAAAACCAACCAAACCAGCCATAAAATCATCAACCTTACCTCGTACATCATCACAAGGTAAGTGCACAAAATGAAACTCAATGCTCATTTTCATTAATTTTATTTTAATTGTCTCGATCTGAGTGAAAAAGCACTTTCCTTAATGTGAAAATATAAAAACTGTGAAGATTTAAACAGTGGCAAAGCATCGCATACACATACAAAGCTACACGTGTTTTCACACCATATTCGATATTACTAACAAAATTTTACTATAATTTAAATGTGTTTTAACTAATTTGTTTTCGCTTTTATTGATTCTTTTGTATTGTAAATAAAAAAATTAATTACTTGTAAAATTACTAAAAAATACAAATTATACAAAATTTGTACAGAACGAGATCGTATAAAGCCACCACCTCCTCCAAAGCCATTGGTCTTGGCTCAAACACATCAGAGTTATCGTGCAGATATAGCGCTTGCTCCAGAAGTGTATAATCACTTACGTGGTCTACAGAAGAAAGCTAAGGATTTGCGCATGGAAGTGCGTACTCTAAGACGTTTATCACAGGCTCAAGCCGTTGCAGTACGTGAAGATATTAAAGGCGCATTTATGAGAATACGTGCCACATTATTGGCTAGTAGTGGCAGTAATTGGGGACATCCCGGCGATCAGGATACAACACGTATTTCACGCGAAGAGGAACTTTATAAACAGGAAGTTATACGATTAGAAAAGGATTTAAGCGATTTGGAGACATCTGTAGAGAGTCTGCGTGGAGAAGTTATAAATCGTAGAACACGTGTCAATATGACAGCCGTAGAGGATATGGCACTCGTTTTGAGCAGAGCAAGGTAAGTTATTTATAAAATAATTGTATTGAATTAGGGGTTTCATTAATTGACTATTGACTAAGCTGTGTGAGTATTTGTATTTGGAGGGCAAAACTAGATCCTTTTAATTTACAAAATCAGTATTTCTGTTATATATATATATAACAAAAAACATAACCTCTCAACAATATATGCAGTGTGTTGGCAAAATAAAATAAGTTGATTTGGTGATTATTTTAAAATATTTACACGAAAAAAGTCACATTGAAACCCATATTGTCTCAATATTCTCAATGTTCAATATTGTCGTTTTGAAAAATTTGTGTAGAGTCCTTAGAAGTAGGTTCACATCTGTTCAATGTAGTTCTACCTACTTCTCTAGACTTTCACTTAACGACAAGTGATCTTGTATTCATATAACAATATTGTCTCAGTGTTGTCAGCATATAATATTGTCGCTCTTAATAGTTTTGGTAGGGTCCATAGAATTACATCTACATCTATCTATTCAATAATGTTCTATTAACAAGTGATCATGTTCGCAGAAATATTGTTATGAAATGTGTTAGCAAATGATTGAGTGAAAGGGTTAAAAATTGGATTTGACAAATTTATACTTGATATTAATTATTTTTAAGCTAGCTGAAATATTATATTTTTTACCTTGCCGTTACATTTCTATGCTTCAATTAAAAAACTTAAGCGCTTAATAAATTTTTCATATAAACGAAATTTTTTTTTTCTAATGCAATATTTTTTTTATGATATTCTATTCGCAACAGAAAAGCTGGCTATCAAATAAAATATTTCTAAAAGCCTTAAGTCTAAAAGTCTTAATATATCTTGGTCTATCCCGTTACGACTATTATCGTAAATGTGAATCTGCAGAGGAGAGGGAAACTGTGTTAATATTGTGTCTCAGTGCTCTCCTTTGGCCAGTAGTAAATTTAATATCTTTGCGACTTTTTTTCTCCTTCAAAATTAGTGATATAACCAATTGTTTTGATTTGTCAGGTTGATTCACTTTAACTTAAATGGTAAAGTGGTGCTTCTTGTCTTCGATTTCGTTTGGGAATCCACAGCTTTGGGCCTTTCCTTTGAAAACAAATTATTTTATCAGCGGTATAACAACGGGCATTATTTGTGCTCAAATGGTCTTTGTTGTTCAAGGCCGTCACTCTAACTTAATCTTACCTAATATTGTATTAACAATCTATTTGATTATAAAAAGTAAATAAATTTCATAAAACGTTAATTTACTTCTTTAAGTCTGCTAGCTTAATCGGGCATTATCACTGAAGGGTGCTTTCTCAGAAAAGAATGTAGTTCTAGCCCAACGTAAGCAATTTTTAGCATCTAGTCGTGAAATTATTGCAGAAATATAAAGTATTCATTCTTTTTGGTTAGTTTATTCTAAAGCTATGATATTGGTCCCAAATTTTTTACTCTTTTCGAATTGTAAAATGCTTAAAGTACTTAGAAATCTAAGTTCTGATTTTGATACTATATACCATACTTGTAAAGCAAAAGTATGAGAAGATGACAAGTCAGGATAAAAAAAATTATTTCATTTTTAAATTAAAGATTTAAGTAATTTTTAGTACACGAAGATTATCATAATTTAATTTTTTAATATAGTAAAACTGTTGCTGAACTTAAGATGAGATTTCCCGCTCTATCAAATGGATTGCGTTGTATCATATCGAATGAAATGGAAAAAGTAGTGCGTGAAGAAAAGTTCCTTAAAGAAGAGCCTGATAGACTTGAGTCTGCTCTTAGGCGTTGTAAAAAGTTAACCGGCACTTTAGTAACTCTTAAAAGGTTTTTTCTTTATAACATTTAATTTTAAAATATAAATTTTAAATAAATATAAATTTTATAATGACAACTTAGATTGGCGAGTGTGCAAGAACAACGTCTTCCACCAAATGAGCCACAAATCAATGAGGAACCTCCACGTTCCGCAGAAATCTCCTCAGCCGATAAGGTAAGCTAATTGCTGCAATTTAATTTATTTGTTAATTGATTTGATTGATTAATTCATTGATTAAACAAGGCAACTATTTGATAAAATAATTATTTATGCATATTTAATAACTTTGAGTAAAAGCAGATTTCTTGCTAATATTTCTCTATTAGTTGCTACCAAAAACAATTAATAATAATATATATATACTATATTATCTATATATATATATATGTATTATTTTTTAAGAATTATAATGATTGACTTGCATTCATATTATAACTAATATTATATTAAATATTATATTATATGATAAAACTTCAAACTCTCGTTAGAATTGAAATTTTTACTTTTTCGTTCTCATAATTTCTTTAAATTGTTGAATAAAAGTAGTTTACATAAATCGAACATTATTTTCCAAATAGTAATGATAATTTGTGTGTAAATAAAGTAATTTTGATTATATTAAGAGGATATCGATTTAAAAATAGTATTAATCATTAACAAAACAAATATGTTTAATTTCGTTATATTTAACTATTATTTGCAATTGGCTAAATTAAATATATTTTTTATTTATTTATTTGGTTTACTGATTTATGAGTATAATAGATATAAGTCAGACTGAATGGAAATTTATTTCAAATAATAAAAAAATAATAAATAAGTAAATTTTAGGAGTTTGGAGTTGAGTGTGATTTATAAAGAATTCATAGATAATTAATTAACTTAACTTATCCTAATCCTTAAACAAATAATAGCTCTGGAATAAAGTGAGGTTTCTATAGGAATCGTATTTGAATTTTTATAAACTTTTTCTTTTGTTTACTATATTTCGTATGTTCACTGTAAAATAAAACAAGTAAGAGTGTTTTTCACTGTTGGTATTTTTTTTAGAACATCACATCCCTTTTGCTTTTCAAATTTACTTCCACCACCACGCCCCTTACTTTAAGTTTCCCGATTAAGTATATTCTGTATTGAATTTGTATATGAAATTGTATGGAAATTGAACTTATTTCTAAATTAATTTTTTTTTCATTCCTTTCACTTTTTGTTGGATTTGCAAAATTGTTTTTAAATATTTTTATTTAATTTCTCTATAATAAAACAAAAATTTTTCACTGCAATTTATTGATATATATATATACATATATAATACATACACATTAATATTATTATAGAATTAAGAATTTAAAAAAAATTGGGGCGAGAAGTTAAGTAAAGTTTCGCAAAATATTTTTTAAGTGAAAGATATATTTGTATAGCATTTCTTAAAGTATCTAATAACACAGATAGTTGTGTAAGTCTAAGGTAGCTATTCTATTAGATTGTAAATCAATTTTTCTCTGATATACATTTGTTTAAGTGTAATGCATTTGTGAGTACCTCACTGAATATTCTATTTTACGTATTTTATGAAGAAAATAAAATATAAATAATATATATAAAATATGATATAATATAAAATATATCGACGTACATTATAACTGATCTTTTAAAAAATTTTAAAGTTGAAGTTTTCTGAGTACATTTAAGTGTAAAATATAAAATTGATAAGATCCCCATAGTTAAGTCGAATCAAGAAAAAATAAGGAAACATTGAGCCCTTTTGATTTTCTGATTTTCATTAATCTTTAACAATCGCCATTAACTTATTAATACCCAAAATTTTTAGTTTTGCCTACAAATGTTACTTACAAAAACTGTTATAATTTACTTTCGTCAGTTAGTAGATATCTTCGGATTTTGAATTCGTTGGTAAATATTGCAATTAGAAAATCAACCAACCAACATTTTTATCACTATATATGCAGTACTATCTTCGAGAATTAACCTTCATTGCAATTTGATTCACAATAATTCTACCCTATAAAAGTTGCAAGATTTCTAAACTTTTGTATAAGCAAAATTCAATCTTTCTATTTCATTCCTCACTGTCTCTCCTTTATAAGGAAACAGTTACCTTCTGTAAAAAAGATTAATGCAACTGCTTATTACTGATGCGTTCCCAAATTACAGTTCTATACTCATGATGTCATCCATTTGTTTAGTTATCCAGAGTCAAATACACATCAAAGCTAATTATCGTTATATAGCACCCAAGTGGAGGGGTTCCTGAACCTTAAAACATAATCAAATGCTTTCCATCCAATAATATTTTACTGGAACTCAAGGAAATATATACAGCCCTTTGAACCTTAACGCATAATAAATGCTTTCCATTCAATAACGTTCTAGTAAAACTCAAGGAAATAGATCCAGCCCTCTTGAAAATTTAAAGTAGAGATCAATTTAATTAAACAAACAAACATTGAAAAAACTCGTAAATTATTTAAAATAACTACGGAAAATTATGGAAGAATGAGTTTTATTTTTTGTGCATCACTAGTTAGTATTTCTTTCTAAAAAGGATGCATGTATATATATATATCACAATATATACATATAGAGAAACTCCTAAACTTAAGATCCCACATCCCAAACTTAATTATTCTTCTACAATCTCGACAAATTAAATATCTCTAAGATGGTAGGAAGGATTAGTTTTCTTCTTGGTGAAACCATACAAAAGCAGTAACAACAATATGATTTATTCCTCCTTGAAAAGCTTTATGAGTCTCTTATATGAGTCCTATTCCATAATAGGACTTGGATTTTCTTTTTCCTCAATAAGATAAACCTAACGCAACTTCTTCCATGCAAATATGCGTTATAGAAAAAAAATTTAGTAAGAATTTTAAGTTTCATTAAATCTAGATACGCTTTTAAGAAATGTTATATATAATTTAAATAAAAAAAAACGATTTATTAATTTTCCGAATAAGAAAACATTAAAAAAATTTCATATTTTATTTATTACGAGTAGTACATCAGTGATTTTTTATAATAATGAATATACAAAAATATTTATTAAAATTCGTGATCCGAAAATGGATATAAGCGTTAATAATAATATTTATTTATTTTTAATCTATTTTTTGTTATATGTCTATTTTAATATAAATGTGAATATTTTTATTATATTTATATTCTGCGAAAAGAATAGATAATTATCAATTATTAGTTTTAAAATTTTATCAACTATCTTTTTAAAAACCTTTAATTTATTTTTTTCATTTTATATAATATTTTTTTTTATTATATTATCCTTACTTGTGAGTTTTTTATATAATATAACAATTACTTACAAATTTATTAAAAAAACTTAAATAAATAAATAATTATTCTTTACATGTTTATTTTAATATAAATGTTAATATTTTTTTTATAATTATTTTAGGCAAAATGAATAGTAATTATCAATAATTTAGTTTTAAAATTTTTCACATTTATTTTTAAAAATTTTTAATTTTATTGTTTCGTGTCATATTTTATTTCTTTTTACAGTTTATTGCAGTTACTTGTGAATTTTTTAAATAAAAATAAATAAATAAATATTTATTTATATATTTGTTTTAATATAAATGTGAATTTTTTTATTATACTTATTTTCGGTGAACTGAATAATTAATTATCGATTACTTAGTAATTTTTAAAAAAATTTTAATTTTATTGTTTTATTTTATATTTTATTTTTTTTTATATTATATTACAATTACTTGTAAATCTTAATTGTAAATTATATTTTTGTTATATGTTTATTTTAATATAAATGGGATATTTTTATTATATTTATTTTCAATTTATTTAATTGTTAATTGTTAACTATCAATTACTTAATTTTAATATATTTTACAGCAATTTTTTAATAAATTTTAATTTTATTATTTCATTTTATTTATTGTTGTTTTTCTGTTTTAATATTGTAATACGATTACTTCTGAATTTTTTTAATGAAATATTTTATTTTTTGTACTTTATTTTTTGAATTAATATAAGTAATTATTTGTAGTTGATCAAATTATTGTTTATATTGTATTCACTGATGTACTGGTAATTATAATTAATAAAAATTATTAAATAAAAAAAATAAAACGAATAAATGAACGATAAAAAATATTTTGGAAACAATTTCATACTAAACTTATTACATTTGTAACAGTAACAATTACTTCTATGTCGTCTCGTTTTCTTCTTCATTTTTTGTATTCCCTAGTTTAACTGGCGATGGAGTTCTAACTTCAAAGAGGCAATCACTGAGTAATAATCCACATTTAAATAGCAATAATTATCGTTTCGATTTCTATACATGCATATATACTTTTATGACTATTTTTCTATCATTAGAATCCTTTTTTAAAGCTTTTCAATCCTTCAAAGCTAATTCCGCAATTTAATTCTAAAAAATATTAATATTAAATATTGATACATACTAACATAAATAGATATAATAAAAATAAATTAATTTAAATAAATAGGTTGATGTTACAAATATGTAAAATAAAATATTTTAAATAAAGCTTGTTATATATATTTATATTTTTCTTTTATATTTTATCCTTTTAACTATATTTTCTTTTAAATTGTTTAATGTTTTTTACTTTTTCTTTTACGATATGTGCAATCTTTGTGTTTCTGTTATTAATTGTTTTCATTACAAATACTTATACGTCCCATCACCTCTGTTGATCTATAATTTCTTCTATATGTTGTTTGGGATCAAAATTATATATATTTTAAATTCGTATTGATGTCGTAAACAAATTCATTTCTAAACGACACACTTGAAATTAAAAAACCACAAATCGGTGTATAGAAAATGTTGATTATTTAATTTCATTTAATTTAATTAAAATTTTTATTTTTTTGTATTATTAGGGGTAATTGTAGGTCAACAAATAGTCCTTAGAAAAAATCAAAAATTAATATATAAGTAAATGATGACTAGGATTTAATTTCACCAAAAATGATATCCTATACCCACCAAGGAAATTTGTGTGTGTCCTTTTTAATTTTTTTACAATTATATGTAATTATCGTCCTAAAGTTTAGAATCTAAACACAATATTTTGTTTAGTATTTTTTGTTTTTATAAAATGAGTATCGATTTTAGGATGTATATAATGCTATTTTTAAAATTACTTATTACAAAAGCTTAGGTATAGTTTACAACTAGGCAGGGAAAGAATTTTTCTTATTTAAGTACATATATTATAAAATTATTTTAATGTGTGGATAAATAAAAACAAAATAGGTATTATAAAAATTTAAAATATATATGAATTAGTTTTAAAAGCTGTAATAATTAAATTTATATTAAAGTTTTAACTTCATGTTATTATTTTGAAGATAAATGAACAATATAACCAGGTAACGGCACCGGCGTAGTCAGAATCCAGTACAAACTACTAATATACATGTTAGATATAGATTTTTAAAAACATATGATAATAACTGGCGTTATCAGAACTTATAAAAAAAAAGAATTATATATACGTCACATATAGATTTGTGAAAAATATCATAGAGCCCATATATTCAATACAGTATATAAGACACAGTTTTTTGATAATATGAATTAAAAAAGATTTTTGAAATTCAAAACCTTATTATTTTTTCTAAAAAAAGAAGTAATGTATTTTTTATTCTAAATTGCAAATTCTGATTGTAAAACCAGAATTTTTTATTCTAAAGACTAGAAAAACATCGGTTTTACTTATCAATATCTGTAGTTTTTAGTTACTGTCAAGTATATATCACTTTTGTTTATTTTTGTTATTACTCTATGGGAAAACGTACTTATTTTCAAAAAAAGAAAATCAAAATACTTTTTTTAAGTGCTATTGATTATTTTTTGGCGTTACTGGATATATCCATCATTGAAGGTAATGACATAGCAAGAAAAGTTACTTTATTGGTTCATATATCTCTCGTTTAATATAATTCACAAATATAAACGAATTATTAATCAATTAGCAGTTACAAAGTAATTCATGTTTGACACTTCGGTTTTTTGGTTATAGCGCATTTGATAAAACAAATTATTTTGTCATTTTAGAGGCTAAAATTGATCTATGATTATATTTTGTGCTTAAAGGAAATGATTAAATCTTCTTACAGCAACCAGTTTAAGAGCGACATAGTATATACAATTTAAATTTGGAATTTTTCAAAAATATCATAAATCCACAGAAACAAGATTAAAGTATCTAGAAATATAACAGTTTATGGACTGTGAGTTTAAGGACTAAAGAATGTCTTAGGTCCACATTTATAGATCGTCTCAACATAAATATCACTGAATATTTCCGTTCGGTAAAGCGAAAATTGTAAAGAATGTGGAATCTCCATAAACGTTATTAGGATTAGACATTTGTTATGGCTATAATACACTTTCGTTTTTTTTAATTAATCGTATTATAAAGATTTTAATATTAATTTAAAAATATTTGAAATATTTGTTTATATTTTATATATAAATATTAAAATATAATAAAGGTATCTATAATTTTTTAGTTACTTCTGGATTTGTTTGTCGCTAAGAAGAGTATTAGCTAAAAAATTTGTATTGGAAAATATTAGTTATAATATATTAATTTCAGACTTAGTTCGACCATGAAACATTAAAAAAATTATTTTTTTAAAATAGTATTAATTTGGATGAAATTTTTAAGAGGTTTTTGTTATTAAATTACACGCTTTCTTTAATAAATAAAAAATAAGCTCCTAAACGAGGTATGTCTCTACATTTCTCAAGATCATCTCTTTTGATATCGAAATATGATGAGAGTTAACTAATTTATTAATGACTTAACATCAGCAGATAAAATGTTCTGGATTTAAAACATATATTTATATATAGGTATAGATATATATATATAAAGATATATGTATATAGATATATAGATATAAATGCGATATATATACATAAATGTATTAATAAGTTAACAGTTGAAATACTCTGGACTTAAAACATATATATTGTGGTGTTCAGTGTCTTTCTGTTGGAAAATCAATTTGGCATATTTCTACGAAAATCATTTTTTATCTTTACTTAATATCTCGGTTAATATTTTCCTAAAAGCAGTGTTGAAAGCCATTTTCTGATTATTTTTTAATCCTCAAATAAAACAAATTATAATTATTTCCGATTTATAATACTGACATTATAATCTACAGATATTAAACTATAAATATATTATAAAAAGACAAAAAAATTTTATAGTATATAGTTTATTCCTGTTTGCTATATGTAGAGTTTTAATTAACATAAAGAAATCAACAAGCAAACATTTTAGGTCGACTGAATGATATGAGCCCTCGTTCAGAAAGTTAAAATGTCTTTATTAAATATAGTAAAAGTAGCAGTTTTAAAGCAAAGCTTACTTTTAATAAAACTCATGAGGTTGAATTTAATTATTTTTAATTATCTTTTTAAATAGTATTAGCGACCTATTGTACCACATATGATATATATGACATTAATAAATAATTGACAGAGCCTTGATATTCAAGAACTTAGCTTAAATATCCCTGTAATCTTTCATCTTTCTTTACTTTTTCATAATCTTTCGTTATAAAATTTATCTTATTCTCATCTATTAGCAAATTTTTAAGACAGAATTGCAGAAATTATTTTCAATATGTTAGTCTTATGGTTTACTAATAGTTAATCCATATAGTCTTTAAATTTATATATAATTTATGGTCTATCTCCTTTAGATGCGTTTATCTAAATGCAATATAGCTGTGCGGCTATCTTTTAAAATATATTAATATATTAGGTGTTTGGGTTTTTCTTGAAGTCTTAATTCATTATGTTCTGACGCATCGGTTGTTGTAGAACGTATAAAATAAAATCTATTACTTTTAATAAGAGGGTCACTCTCTTATATTATAACGTATGTTACTGTGTAAAACAAATGAACTATTGGTACTAAATTTTTAGAGTTATTAAATTTTGGATTTTTTTTTACTAATAAACAATAAAACCAAATAAATAGTTTAATTAAATAACGCAAATATAAAAAAATAATACAGCATTTTTGTTACAAGGTGTCATGTATAAATTTTTCTTATTAAATATTTTATGAAATTAATTTTAAAATATAAATTCAAACTTAAGAGGGTGAAATGTAATTTTAAAATATTTGTATTTCATAGATAATTCCTTTTAATATTACAATTTTGCATTAGTTCAGGTTTAAGTGGGTATAGGGTATAAAAATTCGGCTACGGTCGAAAATAACACTCTTACTAGTTTACTTTACAGCTCAAAAGAATTTAAATTTGTTTGAAATTTATCAAAAATATTATATATGCAATTTGAAAACAGAAATTTTTTTATATAAAATTATAACAGTTTCCGTTTAATTGATGTATGTATGTATGAATATAAAATAAATTTTTTTTAATTCTAGTTTATGTGAATATATTTTTATTAAAATTTAAAAATATATATATATCTGGCAATTATACCTATAATATTAGTATTACATAATAATAATGAATAATTATTATTTTATTATTTAACTGATTTAATAATTTTTTACATCAATAAAGCGAAAACTTTCTTAATTCTTTAATAATTTATTTTAACATAATAATAAAATTATAATAATATTATAACAAAATTTAAAGCCAAATTTTCTCTCACAAAATTTGTTAGTAAAGTTACCCCTACGAAATTTTTACTTGAGTCTTTAGAAAGGTTCAGTTTTAAATTTTTTAATTTTTGTTTAATTTTTGATTTAAAATATATTTTTTAATTACATTTTAAATTTAAGTTATTCGGCTTTGCATGAAATATTCGTTAGAAGCTTCTTATTGTGTATTTTTCATGGATTTAGTATATTTCGAACTTATGTAGCATTCGTATTTATTAATGTTTCTCTACTTTATCTGTATAAATAAATACATAAATAATATACATAAACAATAAATAACCTTTAAAATACTAAATACTAACCTTTGTTCATAAAACTGTTTATATTTTTAAAGTATTTTTGACTATGGTTGTTAACTTGATTTTAGGTAATATAAATTACCGTTTATAATAACTTTTGTATCTCTATATACTCATATATACTTTATATAAATCTCTTTGAAATGTTTTTGTTATTCGATGAACTTAATTACTATAATCGATAAACGTTTTCACTTGCATTGATATAAAGCAATGATGGCATTTAAATTTTCTATTGAATGTTGTTTTTATCTAAGCGTTTCGAATGAGTTTAATTTTATATTTATAATTAATACACTAAATAATTATATACTAGCCAATCCCAACTCCCAGGATGGGGTCGTTCACTGTCAGCGGGGGACCCCCACCCGAAAACGCACTCGATGCTTTGCTAGATGAATTACAGACATTCTCAAAGCCACTAATACAAAATAATGAGGTCAGTTTAAACAAATTAAGCTACTATAAATAATCAAATTATCTAATATTTTCAATTAATTAAATTTATTTTATAGATACAGATACGTCCTGACGATTCTGCATCTGATGAAAGTGCACAAGGTGTACAAAGTACAGTAACTACTCAAATGTCCCAAGCAAGACTTTACATACAAAATGACACAAATCTTCAACAACTCCAACAGCTCCAACCACAAATACAACAAATACAACAACTTCAACAACAGCAACAATTGCAACAAGCACAACAGCTGCCAATAGGAATTGTCGGCACCAACAACATACAAAATCGCATCTTAAGCAACAGTAACAATAGCAACAACACCGTAACTTACTTGCAACACTCGAATGTGGGCAGTTTGCGTCGCTTACACTCCTACACCAGTGGCTCCGATGCTGACATCTCGCCTACTCAAAATAACAGATCAGTCGGCAAGCCACCAGTGCCAGAACGCAATGCAGAGCTCATATCTAAAGTAGGAAATAAGCGCATACCACCACCACCACCCCCACGTACCAGCTCCCGCAGTCCACTGGCAAGTCCCACTAGCGCAAATGCACCACAACAGCTTGCAATTTTGAGCGAATCTGACAGTTCCATCAAGGAAAGCATTGCTGAGTGCAATAGCGGAAATTCAAGCGGCAACGAATCTGGCAACGATCACGTACAGCGACAGGCAGCACTTGAGAAACGCCACCAGGAATTATTGAAAAAACAAAAACAATTACAAGAACAATATCAACGCTTGCAGCAAATGAGTAAAATTTCTGGTGTTGAGGTGGCACCAAATGCAGGTGGTACTGATGCCAATGGTGCTGAAGTATTACAAAAAATGGGCAGCGAAACGAACTTACAATACAATAACACAGATTTATCTATAACCACAAATGTAGGCATTGAACAGAATGTGAATTCCATAGACAATGGCGTGGCAGTGGAGAAATTACAAAGTAAAATCATAATTCGGCAATCGAAAGAGGTTACAGGCAACGCTGATGCACAACTTGCAACTGGCGGCACCACAACAAAACAAGTCTACGAGACTGAGATACTTTAACGAAAATCGGTGCTGACGTGGCTTGAAACCGAAATCGATATTTAAGCGATATTATCGATATTAAATGATAATAAATCATCTTCTTTCATATATAACTGCGAAACAGGACTAGAGATTCTAGTGAATTATAAACCCAGTTACCATATTTACAGCAAATACAGTAATTATATTTATATACAATGCGATTTATGCATAC